TGAATCAGATGTTCAGCATTACACAGCCTCTCCTTTGGTTACACACAGCTGCAGGCACTGGGTGGGACTCCAGTGCCTGCAAATACCTAAGAGGAAACATAGAGAACAAAGCCAATATACAAGCAGTGAGAGGCTCTGTGCAATGTTATGTAATGTTACTGACCTCTTTTATGGGGCAGCTGGAATACAGTTACCTTCTGAACATGTTAGTTGGATAACAGAAAGAGAGATTAATGAAAGCCTTTGTTAAAATTCACTTGGAAGCAGTCCAGCTGTAATCATCTCCCTTCTGATGTTTCTTGAGCACCGGACAACTCATCACACAAGTATTTATGGACTGGTGACTGTTTGCACACAGATCTTAAGTCTGAGATCCTCCTATGAAGTCAAGTAAAATCACTAACACTTTGACTCTAGTAAGGAGAGGAAGAGGAGAGAAAGAAAGGAAAACACAGGATCAACATGTTAGAGACAAATGAGAGGTACGAAGTTAAGGACATTCTGAAACATTATTCATATTTCCTGCAGTCTGGGCACAGGACAAGGCATCACACAGGCATGCTTGTGGTGATTCAGGCAGCAGAGCAGCACCAGCTCTCCCAGGTAACAACTGTACACAGTGAGAAATCACAGCACTTGGAGCACTGCAAATCCACAGGCTGTAATTTGTTCAGGCAAATGACTCAGCCACAATTGATTAATCAAATAGGCATGTCCCTTACACTCTCAATTAGCCAACTCTGTAAAAAACTGTGATCAATATGAAGTAAAAAAAAACCTTCTAAAAAGTAGCACAACACCCTCCCTCCCTCGACACACTTCCCCAATTATCTTCATTATTCTCATAAACTCTTGTTGACCTGTCAGTCATCTCTGTCACTGAGGTTTTGGTATTTCAAGGCAGCTGTCTGGATGGTTCAGAGTTGCTGCTTAAGGTTTCTCCCATATCTGGGTGTGGTGGGAATGCCCAAAATAATGACTTCATCTTGCAGTAGGTGAACACAGTCTACCTAAACAATCTTACAGACACCTTGGTTGCAAGCTTCATGGAGATATGCATAGCATGGCAAGAGACAGGTGAGGATAAAAAATTACCACCATGTCAGTTGTTAGAATGAAACAACTATAAACAAAACAGAGCTGTGTTGAAATCCTGGTTCCAACTTTTGAGTTCTCTGCGCCGTTGCTTGGATTTGAACATGATGCCCAGGATAACAACTGATATATATTGGTAACAGTATTTAAAGGATTTGTTTTCTTGTTTGCAGTCTCCACTGCTGGTTTGCATATTGATAAATGACTGTGCCTAAATAAGCTGCACAAGAGGAAGGAGTTCCATTGCACAGCAGGTAGGTAGATCATACACTAAGTAACATGCAGGAATCCCATCTTCTTGTCTACAGTGAGTACCTTGTCATTTCTGTCCATGGAGAACAGGTTGGATGTGGGGCTGGAAAGGGCACAGTACTGCTTGGTCCCTTAGGGTAAACCAGGCTTAACTTCAGTCAAAGAACTTGGGATAGTTAGCAAAGCCCAGCTTTGTTAGGCAGCTGTCATGCTCGCACTGGCTGACGGCTAGGAGGTGTGGTGAAGGGAAAGCAGAGGAACAAAGCTGCCCAAACATCACAGGAGGACTGGGACTGTGCAAACAACTACAGACAGACCTGATTCATCCCAGCAGATCAAAGCAGATGAAGGTAAATCAAGATTCAGAAGATTCACCAGACACAACCAGACATCAGGGTGCAAAAAGCCCTTGTAGTCTAGTCCTGATCTCATTTTTTCCACAACAGAAGGACCAGGCCTCTGTCTGCTACCTAGCCTACTTCTAGCCACTCAAGGCCTTTTACCCCAATTCTGGCTAATCTTTTCCAGTGGTTTTGCTCCCTGGCTTTGCCTTCTGGTAATACTAACATTAGACTTTTGAATAAATAATAATTACAAAACACTGGCATTGAGATTTGCTGTGAGAATCATTTTTCCACCGCAAGGGTGAAAGCTGCTTGCCAGTCACCCACAATTTTGTTTGGCAAAAAAAGAGAGTGATTAAAAAATAAACACAGAGTAGTCAGATTTACAATGGTTACCTGTCTCCTGCATGTTATTTCTCCAAGAAGTACAGAACATTATTTGGAGTGATTTGCACTCAGTATTTTCCACCAGCTGCCTGTGGCCTGGAGTGCCAGGGATCTGAATCAGGGTCAGTCCCCTGACACAGCAGAACTACAGGCATATTTAGGCATGTGTTTGACTGTGTCTTGCTTATCTTGCAGATTGGCAATTTAAATGAAAATCCATACAATAAACAGGCATTTGATTTTCATGTATCTACTTAAAACATTTCTAAAGTCACTCTTGAGTGAGTCACAACACCTCCAATACCCAAAACTTTAGATGCTTGTGTCTAAAAATGGAGTCAGGAGGTTTGCCCTTCATAGTCAAGACTCATGCAAGCCAATAGTGCTATAAACCAATTCTTCCATAAGCAATAACAGCTCAGCTGTGAATCACTGGAATTCAGTGACTAAGCTCTGGTGGAAATTAGAACTTGCTGTCTTAACCAGGGTTTTTATTCTTACCTCAGAAACACCAGCAACAAACTAAACCTGGTCTGCCTTAAGTGTGCATACAGGAAGAAGAGGTAAAACACAGTCATTTACAACAATACCTCAAAAGGAAATGCTGTGATCAACAGGTGAAAAATTACAATCTTTTTTTATCTCCGTTTCTGCTAATAAATTATTAAAATCACTGTTTTATCAGGTTTTTTTAGAGTAGCTCTCATCTTGTTCTCTAAAACTAGAATGTGCAAAACCACTGCAAAAAAGTTCTTGTTCTGCTGTATAAGAAATGTAGAGGAAAAAAAAACCTGCAAGAACAATGTACAGAATAGATCTGGATGACAGTCATTCCAAAGGCAAAATTATTACAGGCTATTATCTAGTTGTCTGGAGGAGCCATGGACCAGCTGGCTGTGATGTTCTGCTCAAAGTTAAACACAGACAGGAAACCGCATGTCTGATACTGTAAAAATCGTTTGTCTTCCTGCCATGGCTAACCAGGCAAGCAACCCAAAGGGGCTGTTTTCATTTAAAAGAAACACTAATCCACAACAATAAAAAAGGAATGACAAAGCCTCAATTCTCCCCCCTCCTGACTAGAGTTAATGCCTGTGTTTGTGAATGAACTGGAAATGTTACAGAGTGAAGTTTTACATTACTTTAATTTTTATCTGTAGTTATTCACTTGATACATATGAATGCAGCACATGGTTTTCATGAGTCACCTGAAGTGCTCACAGCACGTGACCTAGAAGGAAAAGCTTCACTTGGAAGAGTGAAAGGAATTTGGGTAAAAAGACTGGGTTTAAACTTCTACTACTCCTTGTGGGTTGATCTGGAAGTGTGAGTGAGCTGCAGAGTTCATAGGTATCAAGGCACTTGGTGCTGAATTTTAGAAAGGTTTTAATAACCATACACACCAAAGACACCCATTTATCAGTGATTTCATTCAGCTACATAGCTCCAGGAAAAACAGCTATAACGTGGCTAACACAAAATTTAGCCAAAATCCACAAGGGTGTGGCTCATATTGTACAAAAACACTAGGCAGCTGACACAGAGTAAGATCTCTTCTCTGGGGACACATTCTTTAAAAAAAAAAACCAAGCAATCTCTCTACCTGGGTCTACCACTTGTGCTCATATCAATACCAGTATATATTCCAAATCCTTTAAAGGTCACCCAAGTAAGGGTTGGTCACACAACCACAGATGAGCAGTCAGGTTGTCTGGTTTCAAATCAAGCTTGATGAGGGGATGAGGAAGACGGGGATGAGGGCTGGCACCAGAAAGGGATAGCCTGGGCCAAGGGAAGCAAAGACATGCTAGCTTGCTCTTGGCTAATTTGGTGTGGTTTTGTGACCTAAACTAGTTGGCCTTCTTGGAGGCTAGGAAGTGAGAGCTACAATTGCTCACATAGTCATTCACCTCAGCGCAGTCCCCCACCAGGTTTCCTAGGAGTGGAAACTGCATCCCAAGCCTTCGTTATCTGAGGTAACAAGGACCTAATTATATCCTTTTCTGAGGAATTTATGGGTGATGGGGATGGGTGTGGTGTGCCACACCGCTTCAGAAGTGTGAATACATCAATTTCTCCATAGGATACCTCACCCTTCCCTGTCAGAAACCTGACTTTGTCTCAGTAAAATAATCACAGCAGGTAGGACAAAATAAAGCAAAAGGGGTGTGTGCACCCACACACATCTGTGTGTGCAGCAGGAGGTCCACCAACACTGCACACACCTGTACTGCCTTCATTGTGTCTGCAGTGGCCCACACCAGAGCTTGTGGAGTGGAAGGGGGATGGGTTATGCACTTGTGGTTTGGTCAGCACTCACATTTCCCTGGTTTACCTGAACTCACATACACTGCCTTGTGCTATATAGGTGTGGGGGAATACATTCCCCAGAGAAGGAACCTAGCTTCTTCGCACTCATCACAAGGGAGGTGCAGATGGTCAGTTACACCAGAGAAGCTGACTTAAAATTCACATTCTATCAGGTTATCAGTAACATCTCTATATGCAGATAACACACTCAGGCAAAACAGCCTTTTAGAAAAGGTAGGACCTTAAAAATGGCATTTGCTTTACTTTAGATTTCATAATGTAATTAGCACGTGTTGCATTTTGGTGTGCCAACCGAACAACTGAAAACATCTTGCTTTCATCTTCCATCAGCTTTTAAGTGCAATATCTTGAGCTGAATATGAGACTTACTTCAAAATGAGGACAGCCTGGCAGGAAGAAGTACCCTCAGAACACAGAAAAGAAAGATTGAGATTTTGCAAGATTCAAGAAAGACTAAAAGAGCAGCTGCCATTAGAAGTTCTCCCCCACAAAATGCAATTCCAAAGGACATGGGTATAACACAGTTAATATTAACACAGTTAATATTACTTGCAAGGAATGTAGGAATGCAAGGTAAATTATTAAACCTACCTGATGTAAAAATGAGCATATCATTGCATTCTTCACCTGTGCAGGAACACATGAACATCAATCCCCCATCGTCCTTCTTTTCCCTCATCAAACACTGCTCTGATTTATAGTCATCCAAAAAGTGACCATACAGTGCTTCCTGGGGGTCGTGGCATATTGTTTCTAATGTCACATTTTCATCATTCTGTCTCCTAAAAATGAAAAGGAGAAAACTGAAATCAAAAAAGGAATATTTTATAAAGGGAGCAGACAGGACCACGCCTGGCCAAAATTCACCTCTTTTGAGAACATAAATGGTATTTAAAGAGCATCCTATGTTTTTCTCTGTCTTTGTTGAATGGGGCAAATTTGGCACTGTCTGGGCTCCTCACATTTGTACAATGGCACAGCTATTCCTGTATCATATTCCTGCTAAGCTCACAAGAGTGCTTCTGAAAATTTCACTTGGAATTATTCAAGCTAATGCTTGATGAACTGCTGTGAACTTCAGAACATACTTTTGGTTTTTGTGGTCACTAAGCAGACAGTAAAAATCTGTGGGAAATTACAATAAAAACTGAATTATTTCCTCAAAATCAGAGAATTTTTAGTGAGTTGGTCCTTTCATTTTGCTTTCGAAGCCTACAATCAGCACAGTTTGTGCACTGAAGGAGTTATATACAAAACCCCCCCCCTCAACCAACCAAAAACACCCCAGCAAAATATCAATCATAAAAACTGATGCAAGTTAGAGTTGCCTCACAGTCAGGGAAATATTTACAGCTCATAATCTGGACCATATTCCTGTGCTTTGTCCTGGTCCACAGATTTAATTTCATTGACAAAAGACTTGTTGGCAAAAAAGCACTTTACAGTTCTCAACTTACTTGCCTTTTGGATAAATGGTCATGAAAAATCCAACATGTAACTTAAATTTTACAACAGCTCCTTTTTATGGCAATAATAGACACTGATGACTTACTGAAGAATCACAGGAGAAATATGGAAAAGCACACTGGACTGATCCTGAACTGAAATGCCTACTTCCAATTATGCTGAACATCTCAATTCAATGGACACAACTAATCCCTCAGTACATGAATTAGTTATGTCCCTCTGGAAGTGGTTCTAATTATTTTACTAAATCAGCAGCAATGCTGCAAACACTCTGTTGTGTTCCTTTACTCCAGTTATTAACTCATTAAGAGTGATTCTGGCTTTCTTTGGTAGGACTGGATTCCCATTTATGAAAGGGCAAGGGATGCCCCAGTTTTTAGACTGGAACCCAAGCTTAAAGCAAATAAATCCAAAAAAGATTTACAATCCATTTTCATAAACTCTTGATTTCTTTGAACCTAGACAGAGGCTACATAAAAAGTATCATGCCTACATCAAAGTCTCTACCTACACAGAAGTTTTTTCCCATTAAGAGGAAATATTTCTACCTATACATGGCAATAAGCCTCTTGTGATAAACCTACATAATCTAGTTCCCTTGAAACCTGAGAGAGAATTGTCTTTGTTCAGCAACTGTCACTACAATCCTCTCTTGAGCCTGAAATCTGTTTCTACTCTTGAGTGCTGTGGGTGGATATAACTTAATGGCTTGCACAAAACCATGCCTCTTTTCCAATAACAGCGTAAGCTGGAACAGAACTGTTTTAGAAAAAAACAAGTCCCCAGAACATTTCATATCAGAATTGTTAACCTCAAGCAACTCTTGGTATGCTATGCAGAGATATGAGCTGGAAGCAGGAGAGCAAAGCCTGATGAGGGAGCAGGGACATTCTGAATATCAGAGCAATCAAGTAAAGTACTAAGCAGTGATGAATGAGGGTGTGCTCCTGTCCCCACCTGTATGAAGAAATAACTTACCATACAGCAACACAGACTTCACTACTCTTCTCACAGATAGAAGTGATGTTGCAGTTACTCCTGCACCGATGTTGGTTTGAGCAGGTTGTTACTTTAATATCACAAAACTTGCATAGGTTTGACATTTTCAGTCCACTTTCCTTATTTCTTTCTACAGGTGATGTAAATTCAGCTTAAGGAAAAAAAAAAAGAAAACTCAATAATGGTAGATGATCAGATTGCATTATTGCTTATTATGAAGATAAGGTTTTCATCAGCAGCAAACATTTCCTCTTACCTTAAATTAGAAAATCTTTGATCTTTCACAGCTACCAATTTTCTTTACAACAAGGTAAGTGCCATGATGTCAAGACCAGGTTAATCAAAGTGAATTTGAAAAGCGAAATGAACTTCTATTGACTTCAGAGGGAGCAAAAGTTGCTAAGCAATTTGCAGAATTATGCATTTTCCAAAACCAGTTTGCGCTGAAATAGCTCCTCTGCACTCACCCATTTGCATTACTTACAGGCAGTGTATCTGTCCCCCATGTATAACACTGCATCATGGTCTGTGTGCCACTGTAACTGTGGGTTCCACACTGAGAATGCACATTAGCTGTGTGACATCATTATAACATGGATCAGCATGAATTTCGCAATTTTGTCTTTCCTAACCTGAGGCATAACCTAGGTGTCATCTCTAATCTGATTACTGTTCACACATAAAAACCACAGAGCTGGAACAGACTTTGAGCTTAAGGTAGATGGCCTGCCAGAGGATGTGGGTGAAACTCAAGCTAGAAATGCAATAGGGCATCTGTGCAGCTCATGTGATCTACTGCAGGAGTCTAACTGGGCCAACTGCAGGGGACTTGAACTCAAACTAACTTGCAATGACAGCCTGTCTTTGACCCAACAGCTACTTTTCTGCACCCAGAAATTGAGTAATTAGATGCTTACTGATTCTGAGTCTCAGTACTTACCATCTGCTTCAGTGTGGCAGCAGTAAGGAAAGAGATATTTTTGCACCACTGTTTGAACTTCAGGAAACATCCTTTTAGCTCAAAAACTATTTTGAAAAGACAGTGTAACTACAAGGAACAGAAAATGCTGACACAAAATTCTTCCTAAAGCTAAAACGAACATGCAACTATCTGAAGTGGAGCAGACCATCAACAACAGTTTCAGTCTGACTCACTTCGCAATGTAATTGGAAAAGTAGGGTGAACCACTTTGAGGAGATACTGGGCTTACATGCAGCACAGCCCTTCTCTTGTAGCCACCTGCGTGTTAAAACTGTGTTCATATTGCTTTCTGTAGCCAAATGTTGCTAGTCAACCTGTAATAGGCAACCAGGGATTTATAATTTCCCCCTCTCTCTACTCAATTAGCTGAGAAATCAATTTTTTCCTTCTAGAACTTCACTTTTTACTACCATTAGACTATTTTACTACAGGAAATAAATACACATGATTTTTCCAGGAGGAAATAAAAGAGCCTCTTGCTAACATTTTCAATTGAGTTCTGAACCATTGTGAAAGATGGAGAGGAAGGTTTCCTCTCTCCATCCAAACCACACATCTTTCTCATCACTAGCATGCTCTGGTACTGACCTAAGGTTTCTGATCTAACAGCCACTATACTCAGAGGCAAAACTTGCAATGGTTCTATGGTATAGAAGAGGATGCTACGCAGAGGGGTGGTTAGGATGAGCTCACTGGGTGTGGCAGTGTGCTCCTCCCTGCTTTTGGCTCAAGCAAGAGCTAGCAGTGGTGGTTGTGAGGGCTGCACCTGGCTTAAAGCTGGACTCTGGGAAGACAGATAACAGCACAATAGCTGAGGGCCATAAAACTTACTCAGCAGCTGAGGTCTAGTTGAGCATGCGCCAAGCAAAATACAGCTGGCATGCAAATACTACTATAAGTCAATCATCTTACTCCATAAATAGGGAACAGCCCAGGGTCTGCTGAGCTCTCCTGCACAGCTGTGGGCTGCATGCCAGGATCTCCCCTTGAACAGGGATGCCTCTTGAAGTTGTGAGAATACTTATTGCACTAAATACTCAGTAAGTGAAAGGGGAATAAGCATGCTGAAACTTTGAAATCTTAGCTAAGTGAGATAAAGGACTGCTTGTGCTCGTATAATCCTTTAGGCCTAAGTTCCTAGCCTGGAACTAGGTCTGGATCCAGACACACATGGAAACCACCTGAGAAAGGGGTTTAGAATGCGAGTCCTTTCTGAACCTCATGACTCAACATGAGGGTGTCTCTGAAAATTTGTCCCACCTTGTCCTCTACGCAGTAAATAACCAAGTGTTTGTCGCCATCAAAGCTTGTTATAGCACTGTCATGTTTACTATCAAGCTTTGTCAAAATAAACATTGCTACTTTTCCAAGGGAGGTGTGCCACCCCATTTGCAACACTGGGAGCTCTTACATGGGTGGAGAATGCTGGCAGGATATTATGGGTTGGCAGAATTTTAAGCCCCAGGTAAACATTTCTTGTTCTGTTGTGTGGCAACAACTCCCAGTAGCCATGTAGAAGAACAAAGCCTCATTGAAGCAGGTGTGGTAGGAACTCAGAAGGTCTTGAATGTACTATTCTATGAAATACATGTCAACATAATCCTCACTATAGCAAATGGGACATCTCTTCTGGATGGTGTACATCTCTTCTTCCTTACCACATGCTGAAGAGAAACTAATAGCTGTCATAACTTATCTAGGTTGCAGTAATGATCCAAGCAACCTGATAGTGAGGGACTGTCCCTCTACCCAGAAAAAACCCCAATCCATGGTGCTAAAAGCCTGGAACGAAAATAGAGACAAATACTGAGGGAGAGGTGAAGTGACTCACCCAAATGTACACAGGAAACCTGTGGCAGGGGTGCCTGCAACTGAGCACAGGGGAAAGGCATCAGCTGCATCTATGCTGCTTTCAGCTCTGAGCTCACATGGCAGCTGTGGCACGATGGATGCCTGTGCCATGAACATGACTCAGTCCCCTCCAGTGCCCACAGCACTGGAGCCAAGAGCCAAATGAAGGTGGGTCCTTAAGTAAACTATTTCAAGCATATTATATTTGTTGAGAGAAAGGGTTTGGTTCCTATGCCATCCCTGGCTTGCCAGTTCTACCAAGGCTCACCCACTGGAACAAATGGATTAAAATAAATATGTTTGGACCTCCCAAGGAGGGATATCCAACCCAAACTACTTGATTAAAAAAAAAAAAAAAAAGAATAAATAAAGGAAAAAAAAGCCATCTGGAAAGCAGCAATCCCCTGTAAGGTCACAAACCTTAAGTTTCTAAGGTAGGCATTAGTTTAACCACTAGCAACAGTAGCAAAAGGTTGTCCAGTTAGGACCAAGTAATTTCTGATCAGGTTTAATTACTATCAAAAGCTAATGGGGTTTTGGGACTTCCAGAACTGACTACACTTGTATTTTCTCCCCAAAATTCTTCTAACAGAGGCTGACAGATCAGTGACTCTTTATTCATGCCTCTGGCAGTTCAAAAAACTGTCTAAACTGCCCAGGTGGACAAATTTTATTCCATGCTTCAACACTTGGTTTAAAGTGAGACTGCAGTTTACTTTCCGTAAGACTGTCATAATGCTCTAGCAGATGTAGGTCTGTTGTTTGTTATTACTCCTTGCCCTTGTCCACTGTGATAACCCATCTAATTCCAAACTAAAGCCATGTTTGACTTTTTCCATCTGACGCTGAAACCACACCCTGCAGATGGCCTGAGAGGAAATCTGGAGTTAGATAGGAACTTTGATGTCACTCTTTGATTACAGATGGCTACTAGACTCTGAGAATTTAGAAATCCTGAAAAGATGGGTCTTCTTCCAAGTCACATGAACTCACACCTATCTTAAATCAACCAAGTCCTGCCTGGAGAATGACAAATTGGTATGATTCTTCCCTAGGAAAGTGTATTCACTCATTGCCTGAGGGATTCATAAGCAAGGAGTGGTTCAGGACCAGCAGAATGCTCCTCTACTTGTAGTCACTTAAATGTTCACCTCTAAAAGTATTTGACTATCCTGCTGCACACCTCATACCACACGAGCCATCTCAAGATTTTCTCCTGTTAAGAAAACCAAAGTCACTTGAATACTGTGGACAGCAGCAACCTTTGATTTTGCAAGAAAAAAAAAGTGGATATAATGAAAAAGTTAAAAGAGAAATCACAGATTTGCAAAGGTGAATGAAGCCATCCTAAAGTGTGTGCTTGTCTCCTAAAATTTGAATTTGCCACCCACTGTCTAATGTTAGTTTTCTTATTTTGACTTCTACAGGAAGCCTAATTCTAGCTTTCTTTGCTTCTTTGTCCACGGAGAGGGCTCCAAATAAAAGACTGTACTTTCTTGGCTATGAAACTTTCAGCCAACCAGTTCAGCAGAGATCAGCCGCTGTGGTTAAAATGTATGGAACATGCAAGTCAACATGTGGGCTGGACATTACAGAAGACACACTAGAGCAGTCACATTAGAAATGTCCACTCCATAGATTCTGGTGGAGCCAGGCTTGCAGAATATCACTTCTCTTCTGCGGTTCACATCTTTATTTATGATTTCCTAGGACATCATAAACAGGACACCTCACCCAAAGTCTATTGACTTTGCTTGAAGTGGTTTGCTTTGCATCTGTTGTCTGTAGATACGTAACTTCTGTTGAGGCCTAACGTTGTAGTTTACTTTTCTCTTATTTTTAAAACCATTACAGAATTCTCACAAGCTAACAACATTAAATAAAGCCCAAACTAACATGCTGTCTTTTTGGAAATATCTACACTGGAAAACTTTTTATGTCTTCGGATGCATTTCAGAAACAGCAGCCAATTTCTCTTACTCCTATCTTGTAAAATCCTGTCACAGCACTTCTATTCTCTCATCCAGTGTCTCTGGCACATGTATACTTATAAAACAGCAGGCAGATCCCATCCTCCCCCCAAAAAAAAAATGCTGAGAGAGACATTGGGATGGGAACTCAACTACTCAGCTGCTGTGAGATAATTCCACCTGATGGGAGAGATTTGAAGATTTCACTCCACTACATCATGGAAATCTGCCAGGAGGACATTGTCTGTATCAGAGAGCCTTGAAGTAGATTGTCCTTGTTCTCCCAAAGAGCACAACTCCATGACATCATATATCTGTGTTTAGAAAGCACAGTAGCAGCTATGAAGA